ACACTGTAACACACACACACTGTAACACACACACACACACGGATCAGATAAGTTTTATACTTGTGTATTTAAAAGTCTAAAAATCTTTTAGTCAAAGAATTTAACACTTTTATATTAGTAGTGGGCACAGCTAACCAAAGAATTCACTTTGCTAACGCTAAACCACTAAACGTAAACCAAAGTTAGCGGAAGCTAACGCTAACYGCTAACTATCATTTGAACATAAAGGTGTGGTAAAAACCGTACATTACAAGCATTTCAGAATTTGCCAATCTGCATCACATCTGTACTGCTACAAAAGCTACACACAAACACACAACCTGCATGACACACTGTGTGCGAGGGGATTATGTTAGTGGACTTAAGCTAAATGGTCCACTAATGGTTTCAAATGGTAGCAAAAATGCTAATCCAACTAAAACAGTTAGCTGCGCTATGAGCCGTTAGTGAATTAGCGTCTCTGTGCCCACCACTACGTGTCAAACTTCACACTGAATCTGAAACTTGAAAAGTTGTCAGAAAATCTGACGTGAATTTATCCAGTGAAGGTTTGTAAGAATTTACCAAAGAGTGACAAGAAACTTTAMTAAAACATGTCAGTCAAACGTGTCTTCAGGTAATCTGGAGGAATTATTGCAGCCTGATAATCCAAACATAACTCCTTCTGTTCTGTTTGGACAAGAAGCAGCTCATTTCATTTGAAATGAYGACAAATATAAAAACTAATTATGATGCAATAAACCTGTTTTAAAGAGTTAAATGTTGCGACATTCAGTTTTCACAAACTTACTTCCTTTACTGGGAAAGAAATAAGAAAATTACAACCCTTCACCATCTCCAGTGAAGGAATAAAAAATTTTTTTTAATATAATTATACAAGAATTATTCTCAGAATCTGAGAATACATTGTTTTATTGCTGTGGCCCCAACCCTGTTCTGTAYCAAAATCATCCCAATCTAAACTCAAATGCACAAAAACGCACAACAAATTCCATCGTGTCATTTGTTAGATAATAATTAATATAATAATGAATTAATGCAACACAGAGACGGAGAACTGTGGTGAGCACAGCTCTGCTAATCAACGTAACTCGTTTAGTTTATAGACTGAAAGTTGTCTTAGCAGTTAGCTGTTTGGTAAAACTTTTGATTTTATTTTTACACTTTAACAAATGAGGTTTTTCACTAACTTTGAAAACTGTTAGCAGATCATGAAATTACATTCAGCCAACTTTTAGGTGTAACGAGTTTAAGACTTTCACAGATTCAGAGTGACCGTCAGCTTCGTTCACTCAAATCCTTGTAATCTGGTCAAAATACAGATTTTTGGCAGATGTAGTCACTAGGGTTGGGCAATATTTGCAAAAAAATTAATCACGATTAATTGTGGTATTTAGTCAATAATGATTAATTTGAGGATTAATCCCCTGGAGTCCCTGGACACCCTTATGTCCTGGTCACATGACCAATTTAGTGGGTAAGATTTGCTCTTCGTAAAAATCTGCTCCAAATTGTGCCAAAATTACAGACTTCGGGCTATATGTCAAACTTTAAATTGTGTTGATGGATAAATAAATACAGAACTTTAATTTCAATGTTCGTCATATTTGAAGCGGAGAGGAGCACCGAGCGGACGGACCCCAGTAATCCCCAGTCAGTCTGCCTGGTGRCATTCATCGTATTAATCATCAAGTGCCAAAAAATAATCGATTAATATTTTTCTGACGATTAATTGCACACGATACGATTATGCCCAACCCTAGTAGTTACTGAGTTTACAGGTTTTTATCCTGGTGGATTAATGATTCACAGGCTGGTGAAAACTAGCTGTTCTGACCAGTTTCCATCAGTTTAAAGAACTGTTTAACATCAGTGAGGTTCATTTGTCTCACAGGCTGAACAGAACTACTGAGGTCAGGAACAAACAAAGCGGTAACACAATGACCCCGCACACACAAATGCACCAGAACTCAGAAGTCTTTATTCCTAATAAATGTCATACTATTAGGTGCATCCCAAAATTGTAGTGGGTTGGGTGGGTGTAATTTTTTTGGAGGGGGAGGGGGTGGATAGCCCCTCATCAGAGCTAAACAACAAAAGAAATCTGAAGCTTCTTTGTTGAACAGTTTCTGAGTTATAAGCTATTTTGCATGTCCTGACACCAAGGAGCCCCCTCCTCAAAAATGGGGTCTATCGTAAAGCCGTTGGCTGGTGCAGTGTAGGTCAGACTCATCTACAGTCCTGCCTAATTTCATGTTGATTGGTGCAGCTGTTTTTGTGCGACAGTTAAGAATCTCCGGAGAAAAAAATAAAAATAAACAGTAAGAAAACGTTATGACCCTGCTCACACTTGGCATGCGGGGGTCCTAATAAAGCTGAACCCCAGCTGAACCCCAGCAGTCCAGGCTCAGAGTCCAGCTCTGGGTACCCTCACCAGGGGGGAGGTGTTTATACTTGGTACTTTTGTTGAGAGTTTTCTCCATAAGGACACGCAGCAGAACACTTCAGAACTTATGAAAAGTTGTAAAAAGAGTAAAAGCTTGAGGAACAACTGAATGGTGTGCGACACACACAGTCTGTGGGGTTACAAACATTCGGAGGTGCCTGACCATGCGAGGGGACGAGGTGCGATTGTGTCACCTTTGGTGCTGTACCTCCCCCCGTGTTCAACAACTATAAACCTAGCTTCAGTTGTTGGACTGATGAAGTCAATCGAAACGTTTTAGCACACAGCTAAAATCAGCAGCGAGTGAAAAGAAGAACTGTTGCTCATCAGTGTCATTTTCAAACTGATGGCAGACAATAACTGTAGAAACAGTTCCTGCTGCGCAGGCTCTACAGCTGCTGGGTCACACTGGACTTTGTGTTTCTATATAGGCTTCATTTCAGTTTAAACACTAACGACATGATGGAATCTAGAGCTGGGCGGTATGACCCAAATTTTATATCACAGTATTTTCAACAATTACACCAGTTTCACGGTATTCGCTGGTATTATTTCCCTCACAGCTCAGCTGATAATAAAATGTACAAACTTTGCTTATTGGCTTTTTTCTTTTACTGTACCTCTGTGTCACTAGCTGCGTTTCCATTGACCATGAAAATGCACAAATTAGAATTTTGAAAATAAATTTGCTCAATGAAAACACGTCAATTTTGTAAAAAAAAAAAAATTACATTTTTCGACAAAATGTTTTTGCGTTAGGATGAGGTGGTTTTTCAGCCGTATCGAAATTGGTGTTTTTCACAAAACTGCAATGGAAACACTTTTTTCACTTCACAGGAGTCACTTGATCAATAACCGGCTGTTTCTACTGGTGAAAAAGACGACGACGAAGAAGATAACAGGAAGTAGAAGTAGTAGTAATATCACAGAAGTAGTATAAAATAGTAAACTCACCGACTACAGTTTCTCAAAAACACAGCATACGTAGCCACTCCCAAGTAGGGACTTGTCTCTGGAAAGCCTCGATAAAAGACGCCGACGTCTCCTCTGATAATGAGCGCTAGTGTCATGGTAGCAACATGCTATGTGTTTACATCCATCGCCGCCATGTTTGTAATGACTTATCGTGAGAACAAACGTATTCACGCGTGACTTTAATAACATTTCTTMCTTAATGGAAACATAACAGTTGCGAAACGGTGTTTTTCGGCATTAACAGAATATCGACAAAGTTTTGCGCACTTTTTCAATGGAAACGCAGCTACAGTTTCCCTCCTCTTGTACGTCTTTTCTTCTTTGCCTGGTTGAAGACAGTAATCATGCATTTTAGTCCGATCATGAAGGGTTGAGAAAAGATCATTATCGGGTCAATCGTTGTGCGAAACGTTGCGCGTTAAATCTAACTGTGCACGTCACTGAAGAGGGATTTTTTTTTACGTCAGTCAATATAAGCAGCTGAAACACCACCTGCCGCCAGTTACTGCAACGTTAGCATGCTAATGTGCTTAGCGGTGCTGTGGAAAACGTGTTCCCCGGGAAACAGTTCACTGGCGGCCGTGACGAAATGTTCYGCACATGTTCAGGCTATTTAAACCGCTATGTCCGGTATTCAGAAAATTAATATCATAAAAAAATAAAAACTGGTTTTCAGTACAAAACGTTATACCTCCCAGCACTAATGGAATCTGTTGTGTTCTGGGTGGATTGGGACCATTTTACAACCTGATAAAGAACATTTTATGTCCTGAAATTAAAAACTCTAGAACAGACAGAGGGCGGAGTTTATTTTACCATGAATAGTTTCTAATTGAAAGCTATTATGAGCTTGCTTTGAGATAATTTAGGGTTTCTTTGACTGTTTTTACCTCCACTGACCAAATAAAAAAAAGAAAACTAGAGCACCACACACACACACACACACACGCACACACACACACGCACGCACAGTAAAAGACAATGACATATTGTTTTAAAAAACACCCTCATGATGACACAATTGTTTGAACCAATTGTGAGAAATGCTTCAGCTTCCTGGGGTTAGAAAGACAAACGTGGATCTTTGTTTTTATACAGTTGCATAGAAGATTAAAAACCAACTTTAGGATGTTTTTAAGAAACTACAGAAATTCATCTTAGTATATATATATTTCTTTTTTCTTTTTTTATTTGATTTGAACTGCAATCCTTCACAAAAATAGACGTTATATTCTCTGTGTAAACAGTTTCGATCCAGTTGTTCTGACTTGAAAAAACATGCGATATGTAGCGGGTGGAGGGGAGGGGGATGGAGGGATGGATGGACGGAGGGATGGATGGATGGATGGAGGGACGGATGGATGGAGGGATGGACGGAGGGATGGGCGGGGTCAAAAAGGTGGAGCCCGCTGCAGCTGGGTGCTCTGCTCGTCAGTCATGGCGCTGACCAGTGACTCCATGGCACGGCCCAGATCATCGGCCATGTGGAACAAACTGCTGACGCTGGGACCTGAGGAGACAGGAGAGGAAGACTGACAGCTGCTGCGCTAACCGAGGGTGGGACAGTGTTGGAGTCAAGACCACCAAGACCAACACCACAGTGTCTCCAGACCGAGATAAGACCAAGACTTTTAGGGCCTGGACCAAGTCCAGACCAAGACCAAAAAAAAACTAGTGTCCAAAAATGGTGTGTTCAAAAAATATATAAAAAAGGTTTCTGCGCTGCTATATAACCATAAACCCCTCTACCAAACTCCAATGGACTGATCTGGTTTGAATTTGAATCATGTTTTAAATCCAATGAAATCAGAGAYGGTAACTAATACAATGGACAATAATCTGGCTGTTTAATGAGAGTTCCACAGCTGTGGTCTTGAAACTAAATGTCTGAGACCGAGACAAGACCATGACCATCCAAAAGTGGACTTGAGACCGGTCTGAAGTACTACAACACTAGGGTGGGACATACGTGACAGAATCCCCTCCTGGTGATGACTCATCAGATTAAACCTGTGCAGCGCTGCATGTGTGAGRGGAGAGATGTTCCTGGACTTAAAGTGATCCCCGATTAGTTGTAACATTAGACTTTATATGATAAACAGATACTTTAACTGTAAAATAAAGACTGTAAAAATACTGTAGGATGTTCAGTGTTTATTATTTTTAAACTAAAAGTTTAATACTATATTACACAGACGGAGCCATTTTATTTACACACAAAGCATTCTGGGTAAATGATGACATCAACTAGGTCCTCGGTGCGAAGCTGCTAGCGAGCTATATCCACCCTGAAGGTTAATCTTGGACAATATCTGATGATCGACTCTTTTAAATGAAACCAGAGAGCGTTGACAGAGAGGAGAAGGTAGAAATGACTCAGCGAGGTTCTTCTTCCATGAAGCAGTTCTGTTGTCCTCCATCCATATTTTCAGTTCCAGGCTGAGTCATTTCTACCTTCTCCTCTCTGTCAACGCTCTCTGGTTTCATTTAAAAGAGTCGATCATCAGATATTGTCCAAGATTAACCTTCAGGGTGGATATAGCTCGCTAGCAGCTTCGCACCGAGGACCTAGTTGATGTCATCATTTACCCAGAATGCTTTGTGTGGGAATAAAATGGCCTCGGCTGTGTTAAAACCATTTTTTTTAAAAATTATAAAAACTAAACATCCTACAGTATTTTTACAGTCTTTATTTTACAGTTAAAGTATGTTTAT